ATCAACTTCGTCAATTCATAAAATTATATAAGAAAGGTATCATATTTAGGGATTTTATGCCAGTCTATTGGTCTCCATCTTCAAGGTTAAATGTCCAAAATTAAATAATTTAATTTTTACAAATAAAATTTTTCTTATATTTATTATTATATTACAGAACAGCATTAGCTGAATCCGAATTAGAATATAATCAACAACACCAAAGTAAAGCTGTTATTATTCGTCTATATATTGATAATATTCCAGTAAATTTAAATTCATTTAAAAATCATGCAATATATGCATTAATATGGACTACTACACCATGGAGTTTAGTAGCTAATCAAGCTATAACTTTTTCTGCAAATGCTACATATTGTCTTGTTGAAAATAATTCAAGAGATTTATATATTATTGCACAAGATTTATTAAGTACTATTGAATTAAAACTTGGTTCTTTGAAAACATTAGTATGTTTTAAAGGTAAATTTGATTAAAAATCAAATTTAAATATTTTTTAAATATATTTGTAATTTTTTTTTATTTTGAATTACATTAATAATAATGTAGATAAGTTTTATTAGGGAGAGAATTAGAGAGCAGCACATATTTTCATCCTTTCACAAAGCACAAATGCCCCTTCTTAGCTGCAAATCATGTTATAACAAATTTGGGAACAGGATTGGTTCATACTGCTCCTGCACATGGTCCAGAAGATTTTTTAGTTGCATTAGAAAATAAAATTCATATTGTAAGTTATTAAATTATATATTGTAATTTATTTTTAATTAAAATAATAAAAATAATATCAAATAATATCAATTATATAATAATATTGTATGAATAACATTAATATCTCATGATAAGTAAATATGCTATAGTTATCTATAGTTGACACTGAAGGTCGATATACTAAAGAAGCTGGTTCACAATTTTGTGGACTACAAGTATTAACAGAAGGAGTTGATAAAGTGATAGATCTTTTGAATCAAGATATTTTGCATGTAGAAACATTAACACATAGTTATCCATATGATTGGCGAACGAAAAAACCAGTTCTTATTCGTGCGAGTAATCAATGGTTCATTGATATAAATTCTATCAAGGAAAAAATTATTGTAAGTCATTTTATTAATATTATATTACTTATAAATTATGATAGAAATTTAATAATAAAAATATATTAACTTTTTTTCTATTTATTTTATTAATTTTATAAGGATAGTATCAAAGATATAGATATATATCCTAAATGTAATCGTACATCTTTTATGAATGCTTTACTTACTGGAATAAAAAATCGACCATATTGGTGTATTTCGCGACAACGTTCTTGGGGGACACCTATACCTGTAGTGTATAGTAAAACAACGGGTAAAGCATTTACAAATGAGTAAGCTTATGTATATGTTATTATTTACATTCTTTATTATAAATATATTATTATATTATATAATCTAGTTTTATGTATAGATTTTTCTTTATATTATTTTTTATTTTTTCAGAGAAATAGTTGAACGATTATGCAATTCCATAGACAAGTACGGTCCTGATTGTTGGTGGGAATATTCAGTAAAAGATTTAATAGGATTAGATATGATTGAAAAATTGAATATCGCAGCAGATGATATAGAAAAAGGAAATGTAAATTCTATTTATCAAATATTTATTTAAGATGCATAAGAGAAACGACAATTAAAATTAAATATATTATTTATTGATATGAAAACTTTTTAGGATATTATGGATATTTGGTTTGATAGTGGAATTTCATGGTCAATGATTCTACCAAATGGAAAAGCAAATCTTTATTTAGAAGGCTATGATCAATTCAATGGTTGGTTTCAATCATCCTTAATAACATCTATAGCTTTACAGGAATGTCCATCTTATAGGTAAATAAAATATAAAGTATTTTAAAAATAACATATATTATTGTAAAGCATATTAGAAGATGTCCCAAAAATAGAAATATTGAACAATAAATTCTTAGGATATTTTAATTAATTCTTTAGGTAATTTCAAGCAACATTTTGCTTTCATTTAGGCTTTATTAAAAAATATTGATCAATCATAGAGTGCATAGATTTCTTGAGTTATGGTTATAATATTAAGTATGTACCATTAAACTTGAATAAATAAGTCCAAGCAACATAAAATAAACAATAAAAAGTTTTTTAATTTAATTTAATTTTTTTTTTATCAAATAAAAAATTCTAAATTTAATTTAAAATTCTTCAAAAAATTTTAGTTCTGTTTAATTCTTTTATATATTTCTTTTATATATTTGGCATAATTTGATATAATTCAAATATATAATTTTTTTTATATACATCTTTTATATATATTCTTTTATATACTTGAATTATATATTCAAATTATATTTTTATGTCTTATTGAATAATTTAATATAAAAAAATAAATAATAATTGAATATAAATTGAATATAATTGATAATTTTATTAAAATTATAATTTTTATTCAAAAATTAAAATAAAAAATTAAAAATTAATATTTTTTTTAATACTATACTCTTTTTCCATCAATCAATGTATAATCCCCTTTAAAAGAATATTAAGATTTTAAGTCAAAAATAGATTAGTTTAGAAATTATAAGTTTTGTCCTAAATGCTCATAGATTTTTCTAGCCATTATATCTACTATATAATATTTTTCTATAAAATATAGCAATTTATGCATTTATTTCCTCTATAGCTCAATTCTTTTTTCAAAAAGTAACACATTGAGGATTTGGAATGGAAGAATGAATCCAAGATATTAAAAACTCTTGCATAAAAAGAAAAAAATTTTTAGAATTCATACTATATATAAATTTTCCGAGTTCCGAGAACTTTTAAAATCAATTTTAAAAGTTCAAAATCAGAATTTAATGATTTAGAAGTGTTTAATATTAAAATGTAATAATGTAGATGAAAAATTAAAAAAAAACTAAATTCAATTCTTCTATTGAATTTTAATTGATCAATGCTGTAGTAATCAGTATTGGTTATAATAAAATAAAGAATAGATATGTTGATTTAACATATATTGTTTTTGTGTTATTTTTTTATGATGTTTTATTTGTTATTAAATTTACGCAAATCTTAAGAATTAATTCAATACTAGGAAAAGATATTAAAATATCAATGAAATAAATATTAAGGAAGAATATCCAAGAAGAAGTATTTTAAAGCTCGAATTTAATTTTCAGTGAGTGATTGATTTTATCTACTTATTAATTATTTTTTAATTTAATGCTATAATATATTATTTATTTTTTTTTACATCAATTTGTATTATTTATTATTCATTTATTAAAAAAGTGTTATATTCGCTTTTTTATATCATAATTTATTCATTCATTTTCAATGATTTTATTATTTCTTTATGGTTTAACTATGCATTTTATGATTTTTGTTAACAAAACCGAAATTGCAAAGAAAAATGTTGTTTGAAATTACATTTTTAGGATACTTTGTCTATATATTTATTATATTTATTATATTGTCTATATATTGTTTATGTATATATTATATATACATAGTACATGTATATATTATATATACATATTATAAATATATATATATATATATTTTTTTCATTTAGTGCTATATTTGTACATGGATTTGCAGTTGATGAAAATTCCTTAAAAATGTCAAAATCAATAGGAAATGTGATAAATCCGAAAGAAATTTTACAAGGTGGATCTAATTTAGAAAAAAATCCAATATATGGTGTTGATGTTTTAAGGTATTATAATATAATTGTATAATTAGTGATATATGGTTAAACTTTCTATTTTTATTTTATTTAGATGGTGGGTAGCTAATCATGGCTCTCAACATGCACAAATATCGGTTTCAAAAAATATATTTGATGGATGTAAACAAAGCGTTTATAAACTTCGTTTAATATTACGTTTCCTCTTAGGTGCTTTACATCCTTATTACGAAGATATTAATTGTAAACCTCAATATCGAATTATTGACAAATATATGTTATATTTATTATTTTGTTATAATGAACAGGTAATATATATTTTTTATTTTTTAATTTTTGAAAATAAACATATTAATGTATTATGATAAATATTATATGTCATTAGATACAGCAACATTATAATAATTATGATTATCATCATGCAAGTAAAATGATTATGAATTTTATAACAAATAATGTATCAGGTCTTTACTGTACTTTAATCAAAGATAGACTTTATTGTGATGAGGCAACATCTTCAATACGCATTGCAGCTGTACAAGTTATAAAAGAAATTTTAAATGTTCTTATAAGATCTATTGCTCCTATTCTTCCACACTTAGCAGAAGAAGCATGGTTATATTATCCTAAAAATTATGGTAAAATTCTTTTTTATTAAATATATAAAATTTCAAAATACTTTTTTATTAATTAATTTAATCATAATATATAGCATATATACCATTACATTGTACTCAATACAATGTATTAAATTCTTGGAATGATCCAAGTATTGTACAGCACATAAATGTGGCACTTCGATTAAGATATAACATTTTAAAAATTGCTAATAAAACTACATGGAAGTTGCATGGTATTATAGATGCTAATAAGGAAGATTTTATTTCGCTTTGTGTAAGTATTATATACATAAAAGAAATTAAAATTGTTTTGTGTGCATAAACAGAATACATGTGTATCAATTTTTTTTTTGTTTACTTTTTTTGTTAGCTCCTTCATGATGAACGACACTCATCAATATCTGAATTATGCGAAATATTACAACTGTCATCGATAACATTGATTGAAAATAATACAATCAATGAAACACGAATTCAAGTATCTGAAATTCAAAAAGCGTTATGTGAACGATGTAGAAGATATCCTGAAACGCAAAAAAATGGTTTATGTACACGTTGTGCTTATGTTCTTTCTAAAAATAAGTCAATGCAGACTGTAATTGTATAATAAAGTTAATTCTAATATTTTATTGAAATTATATGATATATTCTTTTTAAATAATATTCTTTTTTGAATAAAACAAAAATGATATATTTAATATTTTTATTAGAAAGATTTAATAATTTATATTATGTTATAAAATTATATTGTTATGAAAGATTTATAACATGAGAAAATTATTGACTAAATTTTTTATTCATATATACAATAGTTTTGCAAAAATCAGAAACAAAAGAGCACATAATTTGTAATTGATGATATTAATAGTGTAATAGATTTTAAGATTAATATGAAAGAAAAGAAACAGATATATGATAAATATTAATGTTTTGAAGAATATACAGAATTACAATAAGTCTTAACAGTTAAATCATACATTTCGTTTATATTAAGAGGAATATATTTAGGAAATGCATTAAATATAGTTCATATCCACTTGTAACTAATTTAAACACAACATATGACATATATAATCGTAGAATGTTTGATACATTTCATAGATTTTGAGATTAGTATAGAAGAAAAGGAACAGACATATGATAAATATTAAAGTTCTGAAGAGGTTACAGAGTTACAATAAGTCTTAACAGTTAAGTCATACATTTGGTTTATATTAAGAGCATTTAAAAAATGCATTAAATGTGGTTCATATCCACTTGTAGCTAATTTAAACGCAACATGTGACATATATGCTCGCAACTCGCAGAATGCTTGATACATTTGTTCCAGTTTTTTAAAATTAGGATGAATATATCCCGTAGATTTCATTATCCAGGTTTGAGATCTTATTCTATTATGAAATTTTAAAATGACTTTAAATATATTAGTTAAACATATACGTACTTTTTCTTCTCGACTATTGAGCATACATCTATAAAAAATAATATAATGATAAATAAAAAATTAATTTTTTCATTTATCATTAAAAAATCAAAAAATACATATCAATTTTTACCTTGAAAGTATTCGTTTTATATAATTTACATGTGATAAATAAATTTGGTCTACAGTTAATGAATGTTCTAAATCTTTTTCAAATTCAGCCCAACTTGCATGCAAAACACTACATGTTAAATAATTGTGCAATGCATTCATAAATTGTGTCATTGAATGTCTATATAATTGTAACTAAAAATAAATTAATTTAAAATTAGCGATTGGATTAACTTTCAAAATAAATTAGAATTAGAATGTATTATATTATTTTTAATTAAATTAAAATTAAAATTATTTTTCTCTTACTTTATGATATTGTTCTGATGTAATTGCTTTTTTTTCTCTTTTCATAATATTAAAATCTTCTTGTAATACCCATGAAACTCGACCACTTGTTATTAAAAATTTAAATACTTTACCATATTGTTTCATGACTGTTTCATCAATTATAATATTAAGTGGCCAATTTATTTTATAATTGAGAGAAAGACAATCTAAAGCAGCTGGATCTGATATCTAAGAATTATAATAATATAAAGGATTTATAATAAAGTTTATTAATTTCTTTTGATAAAATAAAACTTAACAATTTGTATACAAAATTATGAAAGAATAGAAAGAATAAATAAGAATAAATAATAAAAAGAAAATATTTACTTCTAACTGAGCTGGTGTGTCTATTGCCGAAAGACTGAGAAGTTCTGAATTAACATAAACATTGTTAAATGAATTAACAAGTGCTCGTTCTAGAAGATTAGTCAATGTAACTGAATTAAATAATTCAATGGGTACAGAGATTTCATATAAACGTGCATATAATGAATCTGTTAAGGTCTTTGCAAATTCTCCATTTAGCAAAAAAAAATAGCTTCGTAAACTATGCAAATGTAAAAGCAAATTGTTTTCATTTAAAAAATATTTAATAATAGCATTGCTAACGAGACGACTTTGTATGTTAAGAGGAATACGAATCGACTTTTCTAAGTAAGCTTGAAGAGAAATATGATCAATTATTTCAACATCGGTAATACTCAAGGGAGTTATTACCGATGATATTTTATTATATTTTTCATTACGAATTAATTCAAATAGATCTGAATGTTTTTTTACAGAAAGAGTTGATTTAGTTATTGAATAAGCACAACTTGATGGTATTATTGATGAAATTTCCGTAGGTGATGAATCTTCTAAATTATACAGTGAAATGGGACTTTGTACTGATGAAATAGTAAAATTATCTGTTGTACAAGACATTGGTGTTTCTAAGTTACTATTTCCTTGATTTGTTATGCTTTCAGTAAAATTAATGGTCTTTCTATTTATTTCATTTGTAGCAGAACTAAATTCAATTTGTTGTATATCAAGTTCATTATTATTTGGTGTCATATTATTACAATGTATGTTACTAATTTGAGATTCTGTTATCGCGTTATCTAATTTTATAACATTCAAAAGATTAGGTCTTCTTATTGTTGAATGATGTGTGCAATGAGTTGATAATTGCTCTAAAATTTCATCTATTTGTTCATTTGTTCTATTTTTATTTGATGAAATTTCCGAAATTGTTTTTTTATTTAATATTTTCAGTTCATCAAAATTATGAAATTTATATTTTTCATTATTATTGCTTATTGTTTTTTTATGTTTGTAATTCGCAAGTAAATATTGATTTTGTATTGAATCTTGATTTTGATCAATTGTAATATTTGGTGTTGATATTGCATATGATTGTTGAAAAGATGTATTTGTATAATTTTTATTTTCATCTTCAAATGGAATTGGAATTTCAATTAAAGAATCTGAAGTTATTACATGTTCAAGTTTCTCAGTTTTTTCTAATTCGTTTCTTAAATCTTGATTTATTGTATTTAATATATCTACTCTCTTATTATAAAATTTCATTCTTTTAATTCGCCATTGTGAACGAATACGTCGTTTATTAATATCATTAGTTACATTTTCATAATAATTCCAAACCATTGTTCTGTAAATAATATATTTTTAACTATAATTTAAGTTTTTATTTGATTTGAATATTAAATATTGTCAATTTATTGTATTGTTTTCAAAATATCATAATATTTCTTACTTTATTGTATTTTCTTCTTTATTATGTTCTATTTGTAAAAGCAATTTATTGGATTCACTTTCTTTTTTTTTTTTTTGCTGTAAATTACTTATAAATATTTGTCCTTGAGGATTTGCCAAATCTGTGTAATCTTTCGTTTGTGTTAATGTTTTTGTTGTATCTTCCTGTTTTTTCGTCTCTTCTAATAGTTTTGTATAAAATATTATAAAAAATAAAATAAAAGATGTATTTCTATTATTTTTATTCATAAACATAAGATACATAAACATAAGATAATGTATCTTTTTTGTTATAAATAAAAAATATACATACCGTGAACTTTTAATAGTGCATTACGTTCTGTTTGTACAATTACTTTTGATATTCCTTTTTCTAATTGTTTTTGATTTAGAATAGCCGTAGAAAGAGAAACTATCGAACCAAGAGCAAATTTACCTTTTTTTTCATATTCGTGATATCTTAAAGATTGATCACGTAATGCAATTACGCTTAAACAAACATTTATATCTGGTTGCTCAGTTATACAAACACGACAAATTGGATTCTAAATATTCATTATACGAAGATCAATATGATATGGAATTTAATAAAAATAATTATATATAAAGTATATATAAAATGTAATATATTAAATATATTTACTTTGGAATCACAAATTCTTAAAAGTCTTACTGTTTTTCCACATTGAAGGATCGATTCAGCTAAATCATTTAAAAAAACTGGTACTGCATCATTGTAAATGCTAAAACTTTTCGTCCAAAATTTGTGACTTCTACTACGTAAATATTGTGGCCTCGTTTTAATCATAAATTCTCCATAAATATCATCGCATATACCTTCAAAAATCCATTTCTGTAAAAATCTGTAATATTGAATTTAATCACATATTATTTAATATTTTAAATCTACAAAAGTGAATAAAAATGAAAACACGAAACTATATGTTTATATTTTTTATAATACATACCGAAAATAAACTTCACAGCAAGATTTTAATAATGAATAGAATACTAAAGCAATCTTAGTATCTGTTGCTTTAATTGCTTCATTATAAATGTTAGTAAGAATATTATTTCCTCCTCGAAATGTAAATTGATTTTCTTTATAAGACTCACAAACTTTAGCAACTTTAGTAATTAATGTAGCTACAGAACGTACTTTTTCAAATATTTTCAATATCCCTTCAGATTTATTTTCATTTGTAAAAATTCTTAATAGTACTGCTTGGTAATAAAGTAATAATTCTTTTACGTTCGCACACATAGCCTACAAAATATTAGTATATATATGAATTTTTGTATGTAAATATATTATTTTTTTCATATGATTTTTTTTCATATGATTTTATTATAAACCTTAAACATTAGTCCTTCTTGTGGTAATTTGATATTTTGTGATTTGGGTATAACAAGATTCCATAAGAATCTAAAACAATTACCCCAATTAATAGCTTCTTGACAAATTTTTTTTACTGATTCTGAACATATACCATACACACTAATATTCTTTCGTAAAGTAAATCCTATCTAAAAAATTTAAATGATTTATACATTTTACTTCTCATATAATAATTTCTTATTAAGATTAGGTAAAATACATACTACATCTCCATATTTGAATGAATTTGATTCTATGCCCACTAACATTGATCTTATATCATGTATAAATTCTTTAGCTGAAATTTCTTCCAAAAAAAGCAAAGAATTCATTACCTATATTAAATAAATAAATAAATAGAAAAGACAGTAAAATGTTTACCTATTCATTACCTATATTAAATAAATAAATAAATAGAAAAGATAGTAAAATAGTAATAGTAAAATGCTTGAAGATATATTTTATTTAAAAAATAATAATTAAAGTTGAAGTTATTATATCAAAATATATATGCATATTTTATCTGTATATATTTATTCATAAAAATAATTTATTATAAATAATTATTAGATTTATGTTAATAATTTACCTTTTCTGAAAGTAATGACAAATTATTCATTTCTTTAATTTTTTCTAGATGTATTGCTGCAATTGACATATCTGTTACAAACATCAATTCTTTAATAGATTCTATTTCTCCAAAACATTCCCATGTTTGATGATTTTCAGCTGATATAGTATTTATAATATTGATTTCATTCCATATATAATTCCAAATGTTTATACCACTATTTGATTCATTACTAATACTCTGATCAAAAAATTTCCATGTATCTATCATGCTCTCTGTTTCTTCTGTATTTGTTTGTATAAAAGGAAGATACAAATAATTTGTTGTAGTTCCTTTTTCTGAAGGAAAATTGTATATATTTTCACATTTATTTTCAATCTAAAAAATAAATTATTTATAAAAAAAAATCTATACAGATTTAAAAGATTTTTTTTAATGTTATATTATATATATCAAACTATGTTTATATAAGTTTTGAATTAACTGTTTTGAATTTTTCTAGCCAAACTACAAGAATATAAGTAATAAGAATAAAATTTTATATTAATTATAAATTTATTTATAAATGTTTTGTTATAAATTTATAGATAAATATTGAATCCAATTTAAATAATTTTATATTAGGAATAGATTTGCTATTAAAAATATTAATAAAAGATATTCTTTTTATTATCAATCTATGCTTACATAAAATTTCTTAATTTAAAAGAATTAATTATATTTTCTAATATATTTTCAAACTATTTAATATTTGTCTATTTTATATCCATGCACTTATGAACAAATTTAATATTTTTCTTATTTTCATTTGTAGATTATACTATTGCAATTAGTAAAATACAAAGCACTATATGTTCAAGTATTTAAATATAAATAAAATATAAAAATTCATATATGAAAAAAATATCGGATAAAGTGAAATACAGTGATGTAACAGAGACAGAACAGTTCCAGTTTTTGCGTTTTCAGCTAACAAAAACTTTTAACAATTGTTTATAATTTAATAAATAAGTTTTAACTGATATTTTTGTTTTTATGAACTTTTATATTTATTTTGGCTTTAGAATCAACTCTGCAAAATTTCATAAATATATTAATAACTTATATATAATTATATATTACATATTTAAAAATTATATCTTACCATATTATTTTGTAAAATATATAAATTAAACTCTGAACTTATTGTAAGATGTTGATTTGGACATAATAATGTATGCGATGACATTTTATCAAATATGTGGTTAGACATAAAATCACATGTAACAAGTATACTGAAAAAAGAATATTTATATATAATAAAATTAAGATTAAATATAAGAACAGATTAATATTTTCATAATTTACTCAGTAGATTCAATTCCAATGGCTTTTGATTTCTTTGAATCATATAAGAAATTAAGTTCATTTATAATATTTTTAGGTGCAATTCTTGTATTTGGAAATTTTTCCAATACTGCTTCAAATTTATCTGAGGATATGAAATATTCCATGGGATATATTTGAAATAGTGAATCATTTTTATTGTGTGTAATTTTAGGAAAAGTAAGATTTATTTTATCAGCATAAAATATATTCTAAAAATCACAATAAAATATGTTTATGAAATCCTATAAATCTATTTTATAAAAATATAAAAATTTAAAACCTACCATTATTGGTTTTGAATCAATGTTAAAGTTTTTTAATTGTATTAATAACTGTAAAATAGAAGAAACTGGCAGTTCAACATATGAAAATGCTTCAAGTTTTTGTAAAAAATATTCCAACATGATAGCATCATGTGAACGATTTAATCCTAGTTTTAATGTAAAAGCATATTTTTGTACTTCTAAAAATGGATCTATTTTTTGAAATTCTTTGCAATCTGTGATATCAAATATAATTAATAATGATAAATGAACATTGATGATTGTAAGTTAAATAAATTACATAAACAAAAATTTAAATGTATTATAAATGATTTAATCACAATAATATAACATTACCTTGGCTAGAAATCAATTGATGACCTTTTTTCAACAATATTTCAAAAGCTTTAATTCGAAGATGTTTAATTATTTTGATATCATGATCATAAGTAAATTGAATATTTCGATGAAATGACCGATATGTTTGCAATATATGTCTACTCAATTCAGTTATAAGACCATAAACATTGTCATTATAATGATTATTGATATCATTATCAATGCAAACATATTCCTTAATATTCATGGCTGCACGTTGAGGTTGTGTATATAATCTTTGATGTCATTTAATAAACAGAATTTGACATTATGTAATAATAATGTACATTCATCACCTTACAAAATATATTTTCTAATTCTTAATTATTCTTATATATAAAATTTTACAATTATATTTATTGACATATATATATTATTGCATCAACTTAAAATCAATAAAAATATCTTACATTATAATTAGTAATATTTTAAATGTACCAAAAGATATATTTTATTAAAAATATAAATTTTTAACAATATTCTAATATTTATTACTTATTTACAACAAATTTGAGTTTCATGTTAATAACCTCAATAATTGTATCAAAGACTGATTCATCTAATGTTATTTTGTATTTAAATCGAAAGATTCAACGCGCGTTTATATCATGTGATATTTGGTTTCTATTTTTTGAATTAAAAATACAAAGAAAAAAAAAATGATTTTGAAAAAACTGCTTCCAATTAATTTGAATAATTTTTCTAATAACAATTAAACAACAAATAAAAAAAAACAAATTAAATAGAAAAGTCATAGAAAAAAATATGTTAACAACTATTTATTAATTGATTATTAAATTAGTTCAAAATAACAAAAAAATGATATAATATTAAGTAATTGATTATATAAATGTTGAAATAAATCTTATAATGCGCGTGCGTATATTTTTATATGTATATATCATGTAATATATATATATATATATCTATATGTATGTATGTACATTTTTTTCATTTATGTCATTTTCTTCAAGAAAATCATAATAATAATTAATACATCAATTCTTATATTTTTTTTTTGTTATCGAATATGTTAATTTTATAATTTTTAATCGATGAATATTCAGTGCTCGTGTAGTGATCAATCGATTGATTAATCGATGCTTAGTCAGTCATTTAATTCAAATCGATTAGTCGATTGATCGATTGTTCGATTAGTTGCTTGTCGAATTTATAAGCCAATTCATTATTTCAATAAATTATTTCAAGGTTTTATATGATTTCTCGTTGACATTATTGATTTTAATATATGTAATTTATATTCTGTTTCTTTAGCTTTCTAATTTTCAATTCCATAATTTACAAAGTGTGTGTACATAAGGTAATTCGAGCATTGTTTTTTCCTCTAGCGGTAACTTATAATTCTCTATTCGCATCTATATATCTAGTTATCTACTTAATTATCTATATATTTATCTATGTACCTTTCTACCTATCTATCGAAATATCTATCTATCTATATCTGTCTACTTCTCCTTTTTCTCCCTCTCTCATTCTATCTCAAAGGAGGGTTCGCTTACTCGGTGCTATGTCTACTACGTACTCCCGTACTCAGGAGAGCGACGCGTGGGCCCTTCTGGCACTGAAGTCGGCACCGGCCAGCCCGACGAAGATGCAGTGGAACCCGGAAGCAAAAGGTGCACCGATTGCACGGTTAGAGGGTCGCGAGTTTGAATACATGGTTAGACAGCGACGTATCACTATCGGACGTAACAGCAGCAAGGGTGAGGTCGACGTCAACATGGGCCACTCCAGCTTTATCTCACGACGACACCTTGAAATCTTCTACGATCATCCTTTTTTCTTTATGACTTGTAACGGTAAAAATGGTGTTTTTGTTGATGGAGTTTTTCAACGAAAGGGTGCGCCTGCCTTCCAATTACCAAAGACGTAAGATATGTTTCGAATCATTATTATACTGACTTAACCTTTCTTGCACGTTTTTCATTGGTTCAATTTTATTGAATGATTTTTATATAGTTTTTTTATTTTTATTAATATCATTTTGATTAAGTTAAATTTGTTTATTATTTATTTTTTTGTTTATTATTATTTTGCAATATCATTTTTTTTAGAATTAAATTTTATAGCTTTACATAATAACAATGAAAAATCATTTTATGAACAATTTTCAATGAATTTATTTGTATTGTAGTTATGAAAGTACTTTCATATTTTCTTTTAAAGTATTATTTCTTATTATTACCTTCTTAATTTTTTTTTTACTTAGTTTGCATGTTTCTTCTGTTACAGGTGCACATTTAGATTTCCAAGTACAAATATAAGACTCGTATTTCAATCATTAGTAGATGAACAAGAACAAAGTAATATACCTGTATCCTCTCCTCCAAAGCATAGAGCACCATTACCACCTTTACGTATTAATATTCCGGATACGGGTTATAGTAGCCCATTTCCTTCTCCTACTGGAACAATCAGTGCTGCTAATTCATGTCCTGCTAGTCCACGAGCAGGACAGGGAAGGAGAAACATATCAGCAGATCTCCAAATGGTAGCTGTATATGCAGCTGCTGTTGCAAATGATCCACAAAATTCTAATATGGAAAGACATGATGGAGGACAAAGCTCTAATAGACAAATAAGTCCTGAACTTGGTGTTGAATCACGATACAGAAGTGGAAGTAGTAGTGGTCCAAATGGTACAACAGCACATTGTAGTCCACCAAAGGATGATTCTAAACCTCCGTATTCATATGCACAACTAATTGTTCAAGCAATAGCATCTGCTGCAGATAAACAGCTTACATTATCTGGAATTTATTCTTATATTACAAAAAATTATCCATATTATAGAACTGCAGATAAAGGATGGCAAAATTCAATAAGGCATAATCTTTCATTAAATCGTTATTTTATTAAAGTACCAAGAAGTCAAGAAGAACCAGGAAAAGGATCATTTTGGCGAATAGATCCACAGTCAGAAGCAAAACTTATTGAACAGGCATTCAGACGAAGAAGACAACGTGGAGTTCCATGTTTTCGAGCTCCTTTTGGACTTTCATCTAGGTTGGTAGATTTTAATAATATCTTTATTTTTTATAGATTAATAGATACTATTAAAAATTTGAATTTAAATTTTTGTGTTTGATATAGGAGTGCACCTGCTTCGCCATCTCATGTTGGAATAAGTGGCCTAATGACACCGGAATGTCTTAGCAGAGAAGCTTCACCAGGACCAGAATCTTATCCAGATAGTACTGTATCCTCTCCAGCTGGTCAATTGACTAGTCAATCTGCACCAGGATCACCTGGTCATCCATATGCATCTTCAAGTCAATCATCTCATAAAGGTCGTCTAATGCAACAAATCACTGTTGTCACAAACGGTGTTAGTGGTGATACGACTAGAGAAGGTAATAATTTTTTATATAATTTCAATGTCTTCGATTTTTAGAAAAACTTTTACAGGTTATATTTGTTTTTCTACAAGTTATTTCTTATATATTTATTTTTTTCTCTATATATTACATAGAAATATTTAATATAAATTAAAATATAAACTAATAGTATAATACTATTAGTATAAATATCTACTACTAAAGTAATTTAAAAAAATATCTATTTTTTATTTAAAACTATTTCTTTCAGATAGTTATATTTTTTCAGATAAATATGTATCTGGAAATACTACAGAAGAACATTCTTTATCTCCAGCTGGACAATATAGTCCGGCTCCTGTTATTGTACAGACAACATATAACTATAGGTTTGTATTTAAGATTTTCTTGTATTTTTTATCAATTTATTGGAATTAATTATCATAGTATACCATTACGTTTAGCGGAAGCTTTATTGGTCCCGACGCAGGCGTCGGAGTTGCAAAACGTTCACATGAAGAATCGGATAGTTCTCCAGGTTCACCGGCACCGCTCGCTATTGTCGAAAGTCCTGAACCACCTGAACATCAACAACCATCAACAAAACGTCAACGTGTTCATGAAATGGACGACCATTGAATTATCGGTGTCCTAAATTATCGTTACGTAGGATATTTTTTTGTTACATCGCGCTAATCGCTCATTGTCAAATATATCTGCACGCGCGTGTACTTCACACTTAATTGTGTGTGCGCCCGTAAATACGTGCACGCTTAATGTTCAGAATTTCAAATTAATGCCCATATTCATACCATGTTTAAATCTCTTCATACATTATCATCTTCGATGCGCGCCAACAAATATATATATTCAGTTCTGTACTGTTTTTTATTTGACCACATAGTGGTTACTTTAGTTTCTGTATATGATGAATACTCGATACAGTTTATTGTTTTATGCAACAAATGGAATCTGTAAGAAAAGCGAGAGCAGACAAAGTTATTCCCTCGTCTAACATTCTAACAATTTGTTTTATCTTCTTATTTGAATTTTCGAAGTTGAATGAACTATTGCTGCAGTAATATAATCATTATTATTATGATCACAAATATATACATACATGTGCGTGCGTGCACGCGCGCGTGTACACACACACATGTACATACATACATATGTACGCGCGCGCGCGTACACACACACACATACACACACACATTTCGTTGAATAAATTTTTCACATTTTTGTTTAATGATATATGGGTACAAGAAGATGACGGAAACTTATACGTATTTATAAGAGGGAGTAATAAATATTTGTAACATTCTTGAAAGAATATGATAAGAAGCATTTTGATGAAATCATATCTTAATATATTCGAAAACATATTGAATCTCAATAGAAGGAAATATTATGTTAAAACAACTCACATTGTTTGCCTTAGTGCTTTATAAAAAAGATCACCTGTTCTAGAACGTTGCCAATATTGGTGAATGAACTGGTTTGAGAAGTTTGTTGAAAATTATATATTTTTCATCATGAATAAGTTGATATGTGAACTAGAGATGGGTCGAAATCTTGATTTTTGATTTATGAATTTAAATTCAAAATTTCGAAGTTTCGAAATTCTTGAAATCTAAAAATGTTTATCTTTTTCTTTCTTTTTTTCTAAAAAATATTTATTTTGTTAAAAATTAAAATGTTTACAAATTTTAATTTTTTCAATCGCAGATTCGTAATCAACTATGATAATTTTTCGAACATAGATTTATAATTAATTAATGGTAACGATAATTTTTTTTGATAAAAAATTAACTTTTGGAATTGAATAGGTGAAATCATATCATAAATTAAATTAAATTATTATTATTTAAATAAAAATAAATTCATATTTTCATAATATTTTTGTTAATTAATTATATAAATTACTTTTATTATATAAAATAATCTCTTTGTCTAAATTCCGAGAATTTCAAATCATAAAAATAGCAAAAAATTTCAAGATTTCAAGTATCCCATCTCTAGCATGAATTATAGTGTTTTTTCTTGAATCAATTTAACTAGATATCTAATTATGTACATCTTTTTGAATATTTTCTCAAACATTGTTTTTATTGACGTTGTTCAGCCATTATTGGGAAAGAAGATATTGTTCTCTGGTCCTTTCCGATTTTTGAACTCGTCGATTGTTCACGTTGGATTAATCGATCACTGAAATCGATTATGACACAATTCGCATTCATTGAAATGCTCGCAAGTCGTAGACACAAACTTTAGATGTAGTTCTGCGTATGATTCTGCAATGTTTCTATTTAAAAAAAAAAAAAAAGAAAAAGAAGGAAAAAGAAAGATAAGCAATAATCTTATGCTGAATACGTCGATCGAAATTTCTTTCTGACGTGCCTGTTTATCTAAGGAAGATATTAACGTACTATAATCATACAGGAAGAGGTGATAGTATTTTTGTTGCCACTTGTAAATAAACTCTTAAACGAATATTGATTGCTTCGAAATATTTCTCTCTGCGTTGAAGAATGATCAAAAAATATCTGCTTGCTCTCGTGGTACGAGATAGGAAAATAAGATATAATTTTAAATCATGATCGAATTCAAAATAATAATAGTTCGACTTTATTATTATATATTCAAATTTAATTCTATTCGATTTTTTCTTGATTTTTTAAATATATACTTTTTTAAATATATTTTCACATATTTTATCTTTTGCATAGATGCATTTCAGTCGTATACTTACGACTTGTATTGAGTTTTCATTGATGATAATTATTGTATTGCAAAATCAAATTAAATAAATATTAATCTGTTTTTCTTTAAGTAAATAATATATGAACGAAATATATCGTAATCGTTTCACGAGAAGAGCAAGAACAAAATAGAATGACGATACGTGGTGTTGAAGTTCCTTAAAATATCAATTGTATAATTTATTCAACGAATCAACTTTTTGAATAATTATTTTTCTGTTTCATTTTTTATTTTTTAATCAAGTTTATATATACTTGCTTTATATATACAATTATGCATAAAAATGTATGCGTATGTATATAATACTTTCGCGAATTTGAAAGAAAAACACAGTAAATTCTTATGAAATAGGCAAATTTAGGAGAAACAAAGTAAATTTTTTTATCTTTACATTTGAATTATTATATTATTAATCTATAGTTTCATTTTTAATATGAAAATTTCATATTTTTTTCTTTTATGATTATCAAGTACGAAGTATAGTTTTATTTCCTTTTTTCACAATTTCTAATCAATTAAAGATTTTTATTGATTATAATTTCTGAATCATTAACTTTTAAAATTGGTTTAATTAGTTATAAATATGTATTTTTGTCAGTCATTTTTAAAAATTGAAATGCAAAAGAATTACTTAATAAAAGTAGAAGAAAAATTTAATCTAAAATATAAAATAAAAATATATTTGATAAAAAATTAAAGTAAACATTTTTAAATTTTTGTGAATCTCTATATATGATATAGAAAAAGTGAACATAATAAAAATAATATAGTGTTAATGAATTATAATGAATTAAGATACTTAAATATTGGTGAAAAAAATATAAAAGTGGAATATAAAATGTATTTGTAAAAAGCAAATATAAAAAAAGGTTGTAAGAGAAATGAAAACAGAGAAAGGAAATGAGAAAGAAAAGAGAAGTGAAAGAGGACAAGAGGGAAAGCGAAGAAGAAAGAGGGTGTAGAGAGTTTGCGCGATGTTCGACCCGAATCTCTCATCGGACGTTAAGCCAGCCAGCTAGCCAGCCAACCAGCCAACCAACCAACCAGCCAGCCAGCTATCCATCCATCTATCCAGTCAACTAGACAGGCAGCAAACCAGTTAGCCTTTCATCCAGTCTGCGATTCGAATTTTTCAATCAACTATTAATGGAATTTTAGTATCTTATAACTGGTATAGTAGTGATTCAATTTATTTTTTTCGTTTACTATTCTTCATTTTTTCATTTTCTTGAAAACTTGTTCTTGCTGTTTCTATGTCTATTTCTATTCTTTTTTTATTAGTTTTGCTATTTTTATATTCTAATAATTTTTGTTCTTTATTATTTTCTTTTTTTGCTATATTCTTATTTTAATTGCACTTTTTTATTCTTTTATTATTCTTTTATTTCTCAATACACTAATTTTAAATACACATTTATTGATAAATATACATTTATTTGATTTCATTTCTTTTTGAAGCTTCTTTTATTCTCTCTCTCTCTCTCTCTCTCTCTCTCTATATATATATATATATATATATATATATATATATATATTTAATAGAGAATAATTTATAGAAAAATTATATGTATATATGTATAACTATATAATATAACAATAATTGATCAAGTTAAATTCAATACGTATTAATAAAGACAAAGAAACAGCAAAAACACAGAGGAAAAATGCGAAAGGATATAATTTCTAATTAAAGAATAAGTAAAATATTAAGATAAAAAAGAAAAGTTTGTTAATAATTTTTCAATAATGCAGTGCCCTGGTATCCATTATCTACTAAAAACCTTGTCTGCGCTCGCGCAGTATTTAGCGCGTATTCAGTTTATCAATGCAACTATGTGAATAAAAAAAAATTAAAAAATTATTAATTTTGTACAAGATATCTTTGACTTTTTGGTTAATTAACCTATTTTGATATAATTGATAAATTTATGGAATTTACATTGAATTGAAATCTGCGGATAGCGTTTTTTAACTATAGAAAAAGAAATGTGGTATATTTATACGAATTTATATATGTTAATCGTATATCACAAATTTCGTTATATTTTTACAATATAATTTATGAACTAATAGCGATTAATTTATGAATATATTTTAAATCTTTAATTATGATTTATATTATTCTAAATATACATCATTTTCTCGCGTTCTACAGGTAGTAAAAGTGCCTCATTATCATGACAATATAATGTCGACCTCATTTTGAAGATACTTCAACTAATTATAAGTAAGTAATTTTTTGCTCATTCATCTAAGGAAAAATATAATATGACTTGATAAAACATATGTTCATGTTAAGTTATAAACGTGATTAAAGAAGAATAAAAATGAAATACAAAAATATATACAATGAATGATATAATGATATAATGATTATAATAATTATTTTTATTGCTGTTTTGTATTTACACGCGAGCAAATTCATTTTATTTTGTATAATTTATGCATTAAATTTATATCCTATTTCCAAATATCATTCTGTATCACTTTATATTTTTTGAAAAATAATTTCTTTTCTATTTATCGATATAGGTGTTTTGTTATCTTGGAAAATTTTTGAAATCTATTTATGTACGAGTTTAAAGAAAAGAAAAAAAGAACAAAAAAAAGAAAAATAAGAGGAATTCGAGAGGAAATGAAACTGAAAGAGTGAAAGTTATGTAGCCGCGCATATAGAAAAGGGGGAGTCGAAGAATATATGTATATAATTTGCTCGGTCCTGAACTGTCAACAAGAGGAGAGTTAACACGGATTGAATCAATTATCATCAGCCCCGTTTTGGAGTGAACGAGCAAATGACGGAATGAGCAATTTCCGGGCTTGGTTAATCCATATAACGAGTAAATGAATTTTTGTTATAAATTGTCTTTGATTATAGTCTGCGAATTATGTTTGTAATATAAAACTGAAGATGAAGAAAAAATGGTATCAAGTAAGAATCCATTTCGCATTTTTCCTAATGTATTTTTATTTTTGTAAATAAATTCCATTCTGTTCCATTCAGATCAAAATTTGATTATGTATATATCATTGTATCTTATAAGATATCGTATATATATTTATATTTAAATATTTGGATTTGTAGGTATTGGATTATAAAAAAAAACAAGCAATGGTAGAAAAAAAAAATCAGAAATTAGATTGACAATATAAGAGGATCATATAACGGTGTACATATTTTGGAATGCTTATACCGGTGGTATCGGGTATCTGGGGCTGGGGATTCTTCGCTTTTTTCTTATTCTTTACCACCCCCAGTCCTGCTGCTATCCGCAGAGGTAATGTTCTTTTCTCATATTTTTTCATTCATGATAAATATTGATCAATTGTTTTTAATTCAATTACAATTTTTTCTTTTTCATGTATTTTATTATTAATTTAAATAATAAGAAAAATGAAAATAATATATAACTATTTTTTCCTGTTTTTTTTTTGATTTTTCTTTTCCTTATTTCCTATCTTATTTTCCTTTTCTTTCCTTTTTCTTTCGGATGTCTCAGCGGATCGAGATCATTGTAACAAGACAGTAGATTTATATGAAGATGTATCGAGTCCGGCTGTAACTTCAACAAATTGGGGGAAACCATTATCTTGTTGGTATCGTTTTCGATCATTTCGTGGAACTCCTCGAGATTGGATTCTGCGAGTTCGTTTCAAGAAATTTAAAGTTGGCGTATTGGAAAATGCTACTACTTGTTCCGGAGGTTATTTACAGGTATGCATATATTCCTAATTTTTTTCGACTATTCATTTATATTAGAAAGTTTAAAAATGAAAAAAAAAAACATATAATTATACCATCCACAGATCGTAGATGGAAATACAAAAACAGAGGTGAGCAATCGAAAAGATCCAGGTGTTTATTGTGGTGAGTCCGAGCAACCACAAACATTTATTTCTGAAACAAGTTTTGTTCGTGTGATATTTCACGCGGATAATTTTACGGATCAAACATACTTCAGTTTTGATTCTCGTGCAGAACAACAATTCGAAGTATATTTAAGATATGGTCAACATCCGGAACTCTATCCAAATCGAAGGGGTGAAATTGTGCCTGGCAGTTATTGCGAACGAGTTTTCAAAGATTGTAGATTACAAACATGTTATGTACAAAGTCCGGCTTATCCAGGCATTTATCCGCGAGCGTTACATTGCAAATATCATCTCAATACACGTTTGCCTTTTATAAAATTGTACATTGAAAATGAAGAATTTAATATTGATGGACAAAGATGTGAAAACATAATGACTTGTCCTATGAGACCGATAAGCTCTGGCTCAGAGCACTGTCCATATGATTACATACGCGTTTACGATGGGAAAGATGAAACCAGTCCGACTATTGGTACCTTCTGTGGTATGGGGAAATTTCCTTATAGTATAATCGGTACTAGTGAAGATCTTTACGTAGAGTTTGTTTCGTCACCAGCAGGACCTCTTTTAAATACCGGTTTTCATTTTAACGTTGGTAATTGGCCAGGCCATGTAGAAACTGCTGGTGTTCGAAATGGTAGTTGTGATTGGCTATTAAACAGTGAATCTTTACATAGTGGTAATGAAGGAATATTTCTCTCGGTGGCACATTGGTATCCACCGTATACTAGTTGTACCTATCTTCTGAAAGGTCGACCCGGCGAAATTGCAAGACTTTATTTTCCTAGTTTTCGAGTTAATCGCATCGAATCACCTATTCAACCATATGACGGTGATTGCGGTGAAAGTTTAACTCTTTATGATGCCGACTGGCCAGATGATGCTAAAATTATAAAGACTTTTTGCGATACATTTAGTAAACCAATGGAAAAACATGATTTCGTATCCAGCTCAAATGCTTTATTTGTCAAATTTGAAAGCAAAACGGGAAGTTATTCTGGTAGTTCCTTATATTATTGGGCACATTATGATTTTTTTAATGCAACAAGATTCGGTACACCTGTACCTGGAACCGAATGCGACGAAACATTTACTTCCTGGAAAGAACGTTCTGGTAAACTTCGATCACCGCTTAATACTCTCGTTTATAAACGTCCAGGTGATCCACCAGCTGATCTTTCATGCACTTATAGTTTTATCACAGACAAACGATTATATGCAAGGGTGATTCTTATTGTAGAATCAGTCAATTTTAAAGAACATCCGTACGCACAATGTGGTAATTGTTGGGATAGTCGAGTTGATCGATTAATTATTCGAGAACCATCTATTATTGATATTACTGAGCAATATTCACAACACCAATATCAGCAACAACATCAACGTCAACAACAAAATAATAATATTGGTAGAAGTCATTGCATTTGTCGATCAACAATAGTTGATAAATTAATTAATAATGGACCGAATAGTGAAAGACAACCGGTACTTCGCGTAGTTTCAAGAGGAGAAAGACTTGAATTAAAACTTCTGGTGGATGGTGCACATGCTGCAGCGAGCTATTTTAAACAATCTTTACCATTATTCGAAGCAAAGTATGAATTTGCTCACAGTCCATTATGTGGACCAGCAATTCTATCAGCTACAACCGATGGTGAATTTGAATTTCCTCACTATGAAGCGCTCGGATATGTTGCACCACCTCGATCAATTAAATGTATCTGGGAATTACGTGTTAATCGAGATAGAGATATTTGGTTGCATTTCGACAAGATTAAGTTTGCTTCGAGATCCTGTGAAGATGGAAAATTAGAAATTTTTTTACCTGGAACTGTTGAACCATTTCTTAGTATATGCGGTGAAAATGTTAGTTATGTTAGAGAAATGCCGATTATATCGGCAGCACAAATCATTCCAAATATTCGTATATCTGGAGATCATGATTCTGGACGCTTTAATATGAATTCTATTCAAACTCAAACTCATCTTCAATTGCCATCACAATCATCACTGCCACCGGATTATCAGCAAGAAGAATTTGAATGGCCAACCGTAATTGTTCAATTTACTGGTTCTATGGCACCAGCAAGAGCCGCATTTAAAATTGCTTGGACAGAATTGTATCATTTACCACGTGATTCTTCAGGTGCTCTAAATACACAGAAACTTGAAGAATTTTGTGGATTTCAATGTCCGGGCGATTCTGGTTGTATTCCTGCGAGACTTGTTTGCAATGGTATTGTTAATTGTCCTGTATTAGAGCCTCGATCAATATTCAAAAATGTACATAACAATACCGATTCGTTGACAACAGTTGAAGAACCGAATGATGAATCCATTGAAACTTGTGGAGCTAATGTTGTTAGTGAGCATGGCATTATTTCTGGATCTGGAAATGGTGTCGGAGGTTTGGCTAGCGTTGTTGGTTCTGCCGGATGGGCGGGAGCTGGTTTAGGTGCAGCTCTTGCTATTCTTCTCGGTTTTCTTTGTTTAATTACTGTTTGTAAACTTTGTAGGCAACGAACTACTTCTAGAGATATTCATGTATCATATTGACAGAGGTACGAATATAAACATAAATACAATTACAAATGCAAACGTAAAAAAAAATACGATTACACATATGCAATCATTGACAATTTTTCCTGTTCTTATTTTTGTTTTTTATGATTTATATAAATTAATTCTTAATACTTCATGTATAATATTATATTATTTATGAACTCGAGCTCAGTGCAAATCTAAAAAAAAATTTTATCATTTTATTTGTTTAATTGATGCTAGTAATAATATCAATAAGGAACAAAAAATAATGACAAATTAGGTGAATGACTGATAAAATATTTTAGGTAAATAAAATAATTCAATATTTTAGGTATACATTCATCTATATATTCTATCTACATAATGCGTTAATATATGTTCATGCAGAGAAAGAGAAAGAAAGAGAGAGAGAGAGAGAGAGAGAGAGAGAGAGAGAGAGAGAGAGAGAGAGAGAGAATGTAGTATAAATACGAGAAATTAAGAAATATATAAACAATATATGTATTGTTATATATATAATATATATATTGTTTTATATATATATTAAAAAATATCTTTTTCCCATAATATATACGTAAATAGAGATTTGATAAGATAACATTTTCAGATATTTAATTTGTATGTATTTAATTTATGTTTGCACAATATATTTACGTTATATATACTGATAAGAGTGCCTGCGGATGTTTATATGTATACATTATACATTCGTAATGATACGTACGCGTGTTATTTCTCGAGGATATACCGAATAAAATTGTATATATCAAGAAATAGAAAGTGTTTAGTATAAAAGTGCATCTCGAGCAAATAATCTTTAAACCAAACATTGATAAAATTGTTATTATATAATTTCATGATAAATTACATTTTTTTTGTATATAAATCAAATTCTCTAATTAAATTATATTTAATATCATAATAATTTAGAATTTTATAAAAACATTGATATAAAATTTACTAAAGCTTCACTATCAGGTGTGAAGTAAAGTGTTATAACAAAAAAGTGCGTGCGTGCACGTTTACACGTGTTTACATACATATATATTATCAATCATTAGAAATGATGTTATGATCATCGTAAATACTTACATATAAAAAGACAAATTGGAAATGATATATTAAATTTATCGAAATCTATTTGTCTTTTCAGTTCGATCAAGTTGACTACGCTATTGAATTATCATTAATTAATTTTTTAGATTTTTGTAAATATGATCAATATTGTCAACTTGATGAAGAATTCTTGAGACAATCGAAATTTACTACTTTTTTATACTTTTCTTTTATTATTAATCTACTATTTTTTTTGTTAATTTTGAATTAAATTCATCAATATCTAGATTTTTTTTCATATTATTCTTTTTATGATATTTATAATAATATCATAAATATCATTAATATTTTTATAATATTTATAATTTAAAGCAACATGGCTCATATTAGTTTCAATATTGATATATTTATATATATGTATGTACTATATGCATTATATTATTTATTGATTTATTATATTTATTACTATATTTATAATAAATTATTTTTATATTTATATAAATTATATTTATTATTATATTTATAATAAATATAATAATAAGTATTGTGATTATACGAAACATGATTATATTATCATTATTATATCGTTTCTCGTCATTATCGGCATTACTTCCATCGTTGAAAATATCGCTATTGTCAGCAATGTCAGCATTATAATATTATTATATTTTTTACAAATAAAAAATATCCTCTGTGAGATGGGATAAGAAAAAAAAATTTAATCTTATTAGATAAATTCACTACAATTTTTTGTGATTGAATTGTCAGATTTCTTTTTTAATTCAAATAAATACATAAATTGTATAAATTTCATAACTTACATAACATATTTTTTTTTCTTTGTAGTATAATATGATTATTTTTTAAATATGTCTGTAATATTTATTTTATTATTAAGTAATAGATTCTAATTTTAGCAAAAAATTATTGTAGTTAATGAATATCCAATGAAAATTGTTACATGAATAAGAGAATCTCGATAAAATGTATATGACTGGAATCTTTTTTTTTCTTTCTTTTTCTCTCTTTTTCTTTTTTTTTATATAGCTAACTGATTTTTTTTCTTTCTTGAAGTTGTTTAACCTTTGTTTCCATTTACTTTTTCTTCATTTCATTTACTTTCGAAATGTAACAAATTTAAAAGTAAACATCATAAATTAAAAAGAACCACAGAAATAACATTTAGTAGCTTATATTCGATTAAGAAACATAATGGAGGTTAAAACTGTCACAAAAAATAGTCATATGTCAAAAATTAAAAATGTCTTAAATTCAAAAGCATCATTTGTGCCGAATATCGAAGTAATCACGAAGAATGTTTTTGTACCTGTAACGAAAACCATATTTACCAAGAAACGTAATGATGCAATACAGAGCAATATTCCCAAGCGCAAGACAGAGTTTTATAAATTATGTCAATCTAACAACGGCATAACAGTATCATTGTTGAAAAAACCATGTTGTCTTCCGGTAAAAACATATATACAAATCTAGTAGTATATTTAAAACATGTTTTTCGAAAATGAATTTTTCTTTTCACCTATTTAGTTTTCTGTTTTTCTAAGTTTTCTTTATCTGTTTTTTTCTTTCTTTTTTACTTTCTTCTTTAATTTTTATACACGCGTACAAGATTTTTTTAGAAAAAAAAAAAAAACAAAAAATAAAATAATTAATATGCAACGTTAATGATTTCAGACTAATATAAGCAAACATGAAGTAAAAATGTCAAAAAAACGATCGCATTTAATTGACAAAAGTTATAGTTTTATAAATGATCAATCTAAAGAATTCTCTGTACGATCGCAAAATAAAAAACAAATATTAGTATTTCCTTCGTCAATTTCTGATTTGCCTTTGACTTCATTTTCTAAATATCAATCTTTTTCCAATAAGAATATAGCTAAATCGAATAAATTGAAGAAAAATGATAAAACTAATGGAAAATTATCAATTGATGGCATTAATAATATTTTGTCAAACTTTTCAAAGACAAATAATAATAAAAAATTAAAATTACATAAACCGAAGAATGTTATTTATACATCACAATATGATTCTAATCGGACTAAATGTTTTTCCCCAAGTTCTAGCGAGAAGATATCTGAAAACAATATCTTAAATAATTCAATTATATCTAACGATATTTCAAATATTTCATTAAGTACTACAGCTATAACAACAACAATGAAGAATGACAGAACTGAAAAACAATGTTTCTTTGATCCTTATTGTGATTCTGTTTTAAGAAATGTCGGTGTAACCATAAGAGATACAATTTCTAATACTATTATTAATCAAAGAGAAGAATCACAATATCCAATGAAATGCATTGAATCGAATGCCTTTAAAGAAATTCGGTGTTCAATGTTTCATCCTCCAACATCAGACAATTTTTCAGAAACAAATGAGACAGATATAATAGAAAATATGCATAAAAAAATTTTATCTACGCGTAATTTTGAAAATAATTCTCGGGAAAATATTGATTATTCAATTCTATCATTTCTTACAAAAAATCGATCTCGACTTCAAAATGATACAGATTTGCACAAAAATGATCATCATTCTTGTAAAATAAAATATTCATGGCAGGTGATTGGTACAGGTTCACAAACGTCACAAACACTTTTGGACAGTTTAGTTAAAGAAAATACTCTTGTCGATGATGAACCAATTTGTAATTGCAGTATTAAATATTCTTGGCAAATCATTGGAATTGCTACACAAACTGCTCCAAGTGATTTCACTACGTCAGAATGTCGTTCCGCTATTTCACTTTTATCTGCGAAAACGAATACAATTCATCATACTAACAAAGAAACTTATACATTACCAACTGCTACAGTTTGGCGAAAAGGTAAAAGATATATTATTTTAAACAATCAATGTTTGCAAACATCTGCTCATAAAGAAAGTCAAACAATTTTTACAGAACTGTATGAAAAATATCACGATTAAAAAACTTCGCGTTTATATCAAAAATATAAATAAAAATGAATATATGAAAAACATAAACAATATTATGTTTAATATTGTAAATCTTATTCAATTTTTATTACATCATTTTTAAAATTGAACAAAAGATTATTCATTTCATTTTAATTTCTATACGTACAGTAAGTATTTCATATTAAAAAAGTGATATATTTTTTTGTTCGAGATTAAGAATTTTGTATTCATCTGTATACTTCAATTAGTTGTAGTGTATAATAATTCAAATACGAAAAACCTGCAATTATATAAAGATAGCAATATAGTTCTAAAATTTATACGAATACTTAGAATTATATGATAAAAACGATAATAAAGATATACATATGTTTCTAATTTTCATATTAATACTTTCATAGATCATTAATATTATGCAAGAAAGTGTTTAATAACATACAATGTCAATTGACAAAAATGTAAATACGCATCTTATTTTATTTATTATTGCCAAATGTTATCCAGAACATCCTCTACATCCACAATGAATACATTCCACTATTCTGCCTTCTTCAAGTTTGCCTTTAGGTACTCGACAAATACAATTTGTGCCAAAATTAGTGTCTCTGGTTTGTATACAACGTAAACAACATAAGTTTTCATATCCCACCTTTTTCCACTTAGCTATCAAATTCTTATCTGCTATATTTTCATTCAGGCAATAATCATATAATTCTGAAAAAAATAATGATGAATGAATGAAATAAATTAAATAAAAATAAATTGAAATAAATTAAAAAATAATCTATATATTTTTTACTGACCACGACTTATAGCTTTCCGTCTATAATACAAATCATATATATATCGTGATTTTTGATGATGTATTTTAAATATAGGCCATAAAGATTCTTGTTTGCGTTTGCCTTCATGAGGTTCTGTTTCAGCTGAAATCCAAATATAAAACAATTCAAATTAAAAAATTGTATAAGATAAAAATATTTCATTTCTAACCTAATCTTCTAACCATAACCTTTACTTCTTTTTTATCATTATCATTACCTTCTCGCATTTTCTGTTCTAATTCTTCTAATGTTGGTTCAATTAATTCCCAACCATCCGGCGGAGGTTTTTTACTTCTACGTACTTTTGGCATTTTTAATTTACAAGAAAATAATAAATAACTTTTCAAGAAAATACAGCGTCAGCAATGTTATGCATGGACACAATAAAATTGAAAATGTAAACACTAGTGTCACTGCATGTGCAAAAATCAAAATTAAATATATATATGTATATATATATATATAATACATACCTTAATAATCTATAATCAAATTATTAAATCAAAAATATAAATAATAAATATATTATCTGTATATTTATCAATATACAAATCAGAAATAGGATGAATAAAAGAAAAGGAAAAAAAAATAAAAGAATAAATTTAAAAAAAATATATTTAAAGGCAAATAATTTATTAATATGTTAGTTTGTCATTAAAAAAATATCATTTGATATAAAAAGATGCTTAAAAATATTCTTTTCTATAATTAATAAAATTTAATATTTTTAAAGAATATTGATTAAAATATATTATTTTTAATTCTAATAAAAAAAATATTGTGAATCAATGAATATTTTAATCTTCTGGTAGCCATATATCTGATGTACAATCACCTCCTGGATAACTAAAAAAAAATTATAATTATTATTTTGAAATTATATATATATAAAATAATTAAATAATTAAATAATATAATAAAATTCAAACCGCATTTCATGTGCAAGTAAAATGTCATCTTTTTCTATACCGAAATCTACCAAAAATTCGTCATCGAGTTTTAAACCTCCATTTTGAATATCAATGTCCAACTTGACCATGGTTGAACCATTTCTAATAAATAATAAATGTTATACATTAAAAATTATTTAACACATTAAAAATTATATGTTATACATTATACATTATACATTATATAGCAGAGATGAACAAAATTTTAACGGTTGAAGTTAAGAATAAAATTACTTTAATAATTTATTATTCAAAACATTGAATAAATGATGAGGTTATAAAGTAGATCAAATATAGTTATGAATAAATGTTATGCATTTTATAAATGTATTAAATAAAATTGTTATTTAAAGTAACTTTATTCGAAATTTTAATTATTTTTACTTATATATTACATTATATATATATATATATATATATTATATTATATTTATTATATATATATATTACATTATATATATATATATATATATTACATATATATATTACATATATATAAATTACAATTATTTATTTACATTATTGTTAGTTTATTTATTATTATGAATTATAAAATAATTATGAAATTATCGAAGTTGATAAGACTGATGGATAAGTGTAAATATATAAGAATAAAAGAATAAGTTATGAAAATATATGTATGTAAAAATTTTAAATGTAAATATTACAATTTTTTTTTTAATATTAGAAAATTTATTTAAAATTTTATTAAATTTTATTAAATTATTTTTATATAATATATAAATTAAATATAAAATAAGTATTTTTGAAATTGTAACATATCAAAAAAAAAGCGATTTCTGAAAAATATAGAATAAATTTTTTATTATGTGGCTCTTTTGAAAAATTAAATTTGAAAATTTATTGGATATGCATATATTTATTACTTTGTTCATATCACTATTTTTGTTAATTAATATCAAAATTATTAACTATACTTTTCATTATAGCTTGGTGTTATATTAATTGTTTAATATAATATAATTATCATTGTCTAACTAAAATATCATGAATTAAAAGATAATATTCAAGTACTTGAACAAATAAAAAATTTGAAAAAAGTATTATCAGTTCACTTCTATAATTTGTATTAAAATTTATAGGCAATATTTTTAATATTTATTTATTGTTAGTGTTTTATTTTTTTAAATTATATTTAATCTTTTTTTGCATTTTTTGTAAATATAGATAATGTAATCATGATTAAATAAATCGAGAAAATGAAATATGAGATTATCATACGTTCAACAAATTTTTAAATTTAATTTTTTTAAAAACAAAGTTATATATGAAAATTTTATTCTATATTTTCAATTTAATTTTATATCAAAAAATATCTTTTTTTCTATATATACGAGAACTCGAAAATACGAGAAAATATATTTTTGTTTTGAAAACATATATATTTTTCATTGTTTCTTTAAATCTTCTTATGTAATAATCTTCTATGAAAATTATTACATTATTTATATTTATATTTAGAATTATATTTGAGATCATTATTTTGTACATAAAAATATTATTTAAATTATGTCAATGATATAAAAATATAAAATATAAAGTATTTATCATATTTTAAAAATTATTACATTAATAATTTTTTTAACAATAATAATAATAATAATAATAATAATAATAATAATAACAGTAACTTATTTATATAATTAAATTAAAATATATTATTATAAAATAAAATATTATAAATAAAATATTTTTTTCCTGAAGTGATTAAATAATATGACAATATAACATTCTTTAATTTAAAATTCATTGTATAAATAAATTATTGTAATGAAAAAATTTTTTGTACACTTATAAAGCACAATAAGAACTTTATATTCTTATATTCTCTTTCATTTTATTTTTATATACAAATTAATAATCTTAATTTTATGAGTATGAATATATATAGAAAGTAGAGAAAAATAATAATTATTACTTATTAAAAAAAATTGAATAAACTATTAAATAAATAAATTATAAATAAAAATTAATTAATGTTTTAACTTATACTTGACATGTTCAGGATAAAATTGTTGATCCCATGGTTTAAAAATGGAAGTGGTCACGTATAAACGTGTTCCATCAAGACTTAATTGAAGCATTTGTGGAGATCCATAAAGACGTCGGCCTTTTATATAAGTTGGAGCCGGTTGTTCAGTAAGTTCGTTATCCTGAATTACACGAATTTTTGAATCATTTAAAATTGAGCCACCAAGAAAAATTTGACCAACTAATTTTGGTCTTTCCGTATCAGAAATATTATATTGTCTAACGTCACCATGAAGCCAATTTGATAAGTAGAGATATTTGTCATCAAGACTAATCAAAATATCCGTTATCATTCCTATATATGAAAACATATAATAAAAATAAATGATAAATAATTGTTTTAATAAAAATTGTTACATATGTTACAAATTGTTACATATATTGAAATGATATAATAATAAATAATAATAATAATGATAAATATGTAAATATATATCAATTTTAATAATAAATTCTATTCTATATATAATTCTATATATTATAATATTATTATAAATATTATAATATTATATAATATTGTTATAAAGTATTGTTTATTTGAATTGCATGTTATTTGTATAGATAGAAGTATACATGTACCTGGCATTTGTGGAGCAATCCATCCTTCTACTTGTTTATTAAGAATTTGAATCACCTTTTTTGCAGTCCATTCTCCATTTGATGTTTTATAAAATTTATATACATTTGAAGTAACCGCACATCCTACAAATCCTTCGCTAGATTTTGGATTATGAAGAAATCGTATTTCAAGTGGCGCAATTCCATCTTCACCCAAATTTAAAACTTGTTTCAATTTTCTTTCGTTCCATGAATAAAAATTTAAGCTTCTTCCATATATTGCTATAGAATATGGAAAAAAGAAAAACAAAATTATTAAATAAAAAATAAACAAATAAGGAAATAAGCAATGATTGATAAATATAGAAAATGATAATTAACTAGGATCGGCTATATCAGTTGTAGTATAGCCTTTTTTGAAAATTCTAGGTACGCCCCATTCAGATGCAACGAGTACGTCATGATACGGTTGATACCAAAAATCGTAACCGAATGCTGCTTTTTTCTCTCCTATGGTCCAGGTACCTTTTATTTCAAGTGTTTCTGCATTGATGCAAAGAAATTCACCTATAGCATCCCCATTTGGTTTACCCATTGCAGAAATCAAAATTTCACCAGTTGGCAAACAATGACTTGTATGCAAAGTTGATATCCCATATTGATTTATTTCTATCGAACTTAATACCTTATTAAAAAAACAGAAACAATTATTTTTATTTCTATTGAAATAAATTCTTTTACATGAAATATTGTATAAAATTTGAAATGATATTATAATGAAATATATATGCGAAAATATATATGCGAATAATCGAAAATTTTCGATTATTTATATAAAACCATAATAAAACATAATCCAACTTTTTTGATTGATGGAGTTCGTTCAGAACTTGTATCAATGAAGTAAACACGGTCGGACATTAGACATGGAAGTATCAGAGTATCTCGTTTTTGTTGTTTATTATGACAACTGCTACAAATATTCCAACCAGAATGATGTAATTCGTCACCAATGTGAGGCATTCGTAATTTATGAATAATCTATAAAACGTAAATATTTTTTGTGAACAAATTTTAATATATATGCAAATTTCTAATAGAAATTTCCATATAAATATTGTATAAATTATTGTGTTTTATATTATCTTTTAATATATGTGAAAAATAAAAATTTTATTCATATCTTATATTTATATTATATTATATTAAATATTATATTTTATTTATATATTATAATATATGGAAGTGAACATTTCTTACAAAATTTTAGTGAACTTATAAAAAATTTCCTTATTTGATGATTATTTAATTTCAATAAATTTAAAATGTTATATACATGTTGTTAAGAACAACATTTTGAACAAGTTTTTCTTATATTATACATATATTATATAATCAGTTAATTTTTTTAGTTTTTGAATTATATATAAAATATATAATAAGTTACATATATTAAGTTACATTAATAAGTTATATATATTAAGTTTTGTGCGATTTAAAATAATATTTCTTATAATTAATAATATAATATATTATTTAATATAATTCTTATATTAAATGTATTCGTTTTTACGCAATGTTAAAATTTTTTATCTACATCTATTAGTTTCGCATGTAGGTAATTTGTCATACACATATAATTTTGAATGTGAATATATACTTATGTATTTGAAATATAGTATAGATATATATGCCTATTTATAGGAATATATAATGCCTATTTTTATAAGAATATATGCCTATTGGAGTTCAACCATTAAATAAAAAAAATAAAATATACAGAAATATGACTATTATGAAACGATTATCTATATCTATACAATAATATGAAATATTGTTCAAAATGATAAGCTTTAGTTAAATAATTAAACTAATTAGGATTTATTTTTCTTTCAAAAAAATATTTTTATTTATTTATTATTATTAAATATGGTAATTATTTCATTATCCTATTCTTGATAAATTAATTCTCTTAAAACGACTAAGATTGTTAAAAAAATAAAAATAAATTTATTTTTGTTCCAAAGAAATGTCTTATTGCAAATGAAAAAAATTATTAAAATTTTTTAACAAGATAAAACTCTTAAAGTTTAACATTTTCATATCATTGAAATCGGCTTTTTTGACAAATTGTTCAAGATTTTGGCAATTTGTATTGTATACTTTATTTATAATTTTTTCTAAAAGATTTTTCTACACGAATTAATAATTTAGTATGTATATACTTTAATATATAAATATAAAATACATAAATACTATACAATAAATAAATATATAAATAGTACAAATTTGATGATTATCTGAACAATATAATTATATGATAAGATAAACAATATAATTATTTATTTAGATATAATACTCTCAATTAATATACGTGTGAATTATATATATTAGGACTATTAAGTAATCAATCTATATATAATCTTTGTAAGAGTAAATCTTTCTATAAGAGATTTTTCATCCTTCTAATTCTGTATTATACATATTATGTGATTCTTATAATGATTATATTCTATCATAGTATGATTTGTTCAGTTATTTTATTTTATATTTACAATATGTATTTCTTATATTATATATTTTTAACTATTGTTATCGAAATATAAACAAAGATTTAATATTTCATTATTTATATCAATTATTTTTTATTTTAATTCAGTTTTTAATGTTTTTATTAGATACTAACATTTTTCTCATTCTCTATTAGTATTTTCTTATACTACTGAAATAATGTAATATGCAGATATAAATAACTGAATATTCCAAGTATTCATATTTTGCACATATATAGTATATTAAAATATATTATATTAAAATATAATTAAATATATATATTAAATATATTCAATATATTTATATATATAATAAATATATATATAATATTATTATTTATATATTTATATATTTATTAATAAAATTTATCATACCTTACAATAATCTATGCTATTAGGATCTATATCAACTGTGCATAGAATATCAGATTTATTTTTATCTGTATGAATACACACTACATACATAAGTTTCTCACGTGGGCCTTCGAGCATTGCTGCTTTTGGCGATCTGTAACCAGGACCACTGCAACTCATAGTATCTAAAATATAATTGAATGTATATATGTATAAAAAAATGTGAAGTATTTGCGTTGCTATTTTAGTTATGTCATTATATGTTTTCATTATTAGATCACATTTCATATAGAGATTTTAAATTAAGATATAAATTTTAACAGAAAGTTAAATTTGTAAACAGATATATGATCTTTTCGCGTATGAGTTATATTTATCGCATAATATTATTTCATAATTATATTATTATATACTTTCTTATAATGGTAGCATTCTTATAATGGTCAATCGATGATGCTGTAAATTTTATGTTATTCAATAATTAACAGAATAAAAAAATATAAGATTAAAAATTAAACACTATTAGATGAATATAAGAGAAAAAATAAACACTAATTAGATGATGAACAAAAAAAGAAGGAATTAATAGATATCATAATGATAAATAAATAAATATTATTAATAATATTTTTCCATAATATAATAATAATATTATAAATAATTATTTTCAATTTTTATTGAAATAAAATCAATCTTGATGTATTAGAAATATATATTTTTAATACGTACTTACTACGTGTCACTGAATGTTGAAGTATTATCTGAGAATGTCTATCTTTGAATGTTATATAATGACAATGGAATTGGAGAAGGGAACTCTATGACACATTCCATATATAAATACATATACATGTTCTTACGTATAGATATACATATACATATATTTATTATATAATATTATTTTAATATTCTATTTATTATTATTAATGAGATTTGATATTTTATGAATGGAAAAATCACTTAACTTTAGTTTTCGAGATATTTGCAAAAAAAGATATTATTATTACATAGAATTTCTTTTATATATTTATATTTGCGATTGTGTATGCATAAGCATGTGATTGTCATTTATGATGATAATAACAAGCAAGTAAAATATAACGAATGAATTAATAAAAAATCTACTTATTCATGAAATTATGATGGGCTTAAAATGTTTCAAATCCAATGCTGAGAATATTTTACAGATCTTTCGAAATATAAAAATAAAATATAAAACAAAATATAAAATCTTTGAAAGATCTCAATTACAATAATCGAAATTATAATTATAGATATCAATAATAATATTTATATATTCATATGTTCATTGTTCGAAGGATTTAGAATTCTTAAGTTTGGCATTGAATTTGAAACATTTAAGTTTTAAGGCATCATAATTCATAAAGTAATAGTTTCTTTAACATTATTGTTAAAAATTAGTTTTGTAACATTATTGTTTTGAAGTCTGCCTGTGCAATATATAAAAACAATAAATAAATGATATTCAGAGACTTACGTCTATAATACATATATACAGATAGATATGTATAAGATTCTATGTAATTAGTAGTAATTTTTTTTGCAAATATCTCGAAAATTAAGAATAGTAATTTGAATAGTAATGAATAGTAATTTTTGAATAGTAATTTTTTTTGTATTTTGAAAATTACTAACTAAGCAGTTGTAATAAATTATTTAAAAATATATATTGTTCAAAATCTTATCCTTTACATATTTAAAAATGATTAAAATTAAATCAGAAAATTCTATTCCGAATAATTATTCAATTTTCTATATATATAAAACTCAATCAAAATTTTTGTAATATTTGCAAAAAAAATTATTATTACTATAATAAAATGAAAAGTTATTTCTTACTAACTTTCAAAATAGATATATCAAAATCATAAGATTACCTGAATTTTAACATTTGTATAATGTAAAAAATAATTGTTAATTATTTATTTTTTTAACATTAATTTTAAATTAAGATCAAATATTTTTTCAATAAAATAATTAATTAAATAATTAATTTAATTTTATAATATTTGTAAATATTAAATAAAATAAATTAAAATCTACTTTAATTTAAGATCAAGAAGAAAGAAAAGAAGAAAATTTAAATTTAAAATAAAAAGAGATGAAAAAGAAAGAAATAAGAGAAAGAAAAAGTTTTCTCTAATGATCGTCAACAGATTGAAATAGAAAAATATTTTTTATTATCAATAAATTTTCTTGATTTATAATATATATTTATTAGCAGGGTTCGACTTAGTTAAACAATACTATCAGATCATGCACGCGATATATCCACAAACATCGTGCATAGTATATTTTTCAACATATTTATTACAAAAAATGAGTAGAAAATCTGTTTGAATTTTCCTTTATTACAAACATAAGAAATTATTATAATTATTATGATTAAAAATGCTGTTGAAAAGAATATATTCCTATAATTACTTTTTAAATATATAAATATAAATATATAAATATAAAATATAGAATATATTTTCATATATTTTCATAATATACAACATAAAAATATATTTTCTTTACTTATTAAATAAAATATTTTAAACTTTACTTATTAAATAAAATATTTTAAATTTTATTTATTAATTAAAATACTTTAAACTTTACTTATTAAATAAAATATATTATTTTAATTTTGGAAAAATTTTCATATTTAAAAATATTTCAAAAGAAATAGTTTAATCATTATAATATTTAATGAATAAATGACTAATATAAAAATAAATTGACAAAATTTATTATAAAAAAATAATTATTATAATAAAATTAATATTTAAAAACAATTAATATTTTAATTATGAATAGATTATTTTCTAAAATAAAAATATAAACATATAAAAACATTATTTTCTAAAATATTGAAATTTATTTTTAATTTTACAATTTTTATATGTACAGTATTAATATAATTAAGAATCAATTTTAGAGATTAAAATAAATATAAAAGTTGATATACAAAAATAAAATCGATTAAAACTTATTTAATAATTTTTTTAACTTATAAGCAACTTAAATTTACTTAATTTTAATTTAAATTTAAACTTAATAAATAAGTTTCGAACATTTTTATATTCCAACTTTTTTGTTAATTAATTTCTAAAATCGATTTTTCAAAGATATTTCACGAATATATATATGTTAATATATATAATATATTAGTATATAGTATACATATATAATGGAGTATATATATATATATATATATATATATATATATATATATATCATACATTATATGAGCTATTTTACATTAATCCAATTGCTTTTTAAGACGAAGTCTAAAATTTTATTGAAATTGAAATATATTTTATATAAAAGCAGGAAAAATAAAAATATTTCATTATTTTTTTAATTTCAAAATTATTAAAAGTTAATTTTCAAAATAGTTATTTTTATTAATTTTCATCTCTATAAAAAAGTTTTTACTTCCGCAACTAATAAATATACTTTTTTTTTCTTCTATTTCGTCCGTTAAAAACTAGGCTTTTTAATAATTTTTTAATAATTCTTTTATTTTATTCATAAATAAAACATCAAAAATAAAAAAAATTTTATTTTATAAATTTAATCACTGCATTTTACATATAAAAATAATTTTTTTCAATATCATTTAAATAATATTTCATGAAGTATATCATTTTTTGCTTTAAAATTTAATATTCAAAATTTAAATCATCAATAGAATCATGTAAAAAATATTATTATTTGTTTTTGAATTATTATTATTTTAGATAATTTATATTTTTCTCGTTACTAATTTCAGTAAGTAGAAAAAGATTCTTAATAAGGTTATAATAATAAAAATGTTTTAAATCTATATAATTCAAAATATTTTAATGAAATTAAGATTAAAATTATAGCACATTTTTGTTCTATTAATCTTTGAAACATCTTATATGTAAAATTTCATTGCATTCTATGTTTATAATAATTTATCTTAATTTATAATAATTTATGATATAATTTATGAACTAAATTTTGCATTTCTTGCAATTACCTATTATAAACAGTACTGTGTTTATATCATCGATATTTGTCACGAATATTGCAAATATATCATTAATAGAATTCTTTACTAATAAATTCCCTGTAAAACAAATTTATTAATTGTTAGTAAATCGAATAATTTAATTATAGTTTTTATATTCGCTGTATTACTATTAAACAAGAGTTATTACTTTATCTTCTAATTTCTAAATTTCTAATCGCAAAATATAATTTATAAATTTTTTATCATCATATTTTTAATTTGAATTGGTCATTGATAAAATGACACATGAAAATTTGACATATTAAAAAATTATCCGTATTTATAATCTTCTACAGATTTGACATATGCGTACTTATTTATATTATGTTATATATTTATTATTTTATTTTATTAGTTATTTTTTATTTTAATAATTATTTTAATATTTTCCTATTTAGCAAATGATATTTTAAATCAAAAAAATTGATCAATGCCAGATTGATCAATTTTAGAATGTTTTTCTATTAAGTATATAATGATAACTATATAATGATTACTGATGAACTATATAAGATCAACAATAATTAAATCAATTATCAAGGAATCGACTATTTTTTTTCTTATATTATTATAATAAATTGGAATTTTTTTTATATATAATTCAATTATGTATTAAAAAATAACTCAAATTATAGAAAGTTAAAATAATAAGAATATGAGTTTTTTTTAGAAGTATTGCAATTTTTACTATTCATTGAAATGCACTTTCATAAAATTAATTAAAAAAAATAAAATAAATTAATTTTAATTAAGTTTGATTGATAAAATTAATTAATTGTATATTTATCATATTTGAATTTTTTCTCATATTTTGTATGTCACTTAAGAATTGTTCAGAAAAATATTGTCAAAGTCAAAATCATTTAAGAATATTTGTTGCTATATTAATATTCATATGCTAAAACAATAATTATATATAAAAATTAACTGAATAATACTATTATATTATATAACTATAATAATTATTATAGATAATCTAATAGTTTAAAAGCGAATCGATTATTATTACAATTTTTAAAATGCAATAAACAAAAACAAAAACAAATTTTGATTTGAAATATTTAAAATATTTACATTCATAATAATACATTATATAATATATTTATAAGCATATTTAAATGTAATAAAATACAATAGAATTTTTCATAAATATTTTTTTGCGAATTTCATTGACCATGTGAAAATATATATTTTTTTAAGAAAAAAATTAAAAGTTATTTCTATTTTGCAAGAAATGTATTTAAAATCATTTATATTGCTATAATTTTAATTATTAACTGAATTATCTATAAGAGATATCATAATTGATTGTACAGATAGCAAAGAAACAATAATTTGTGGTAGAAAATTTTTGGATAATAATAATTTGGATAATAATAATATATTTATAGAAATTTCTATGAATCTATTTAATCAATATTCAAATTTATTTACCTTTTTATTTCTTCAAGTTTTTCTATCTTGTTTAGAATTGAGTATATTTGAAAATATTTTTATTTTTCGAAATATATATTTGGAGCGTTCAAATCTAATCAGCCAAAATTCAAATCTATTTACAAAATATTCCATCCTATTCATAATTAAAAAAAGAAATTAAGAAACCTAGAAAGAAAGATATTTTGTCATTCTTTATATTAGGGATTATATCCTAAAAATTTTTAAACTATTCAATTAATGAAAAATTGTATAAAATTGTATAAAACAATTATTTAAAAAATTGTTCATTAA